ACTTTTTGGGGGTATGATACCATATTTTAAAGAAGATATGAAGCATTTTGTAAAGTCCAATTTCCGGCGAACTGCGTTACCAGGTCGCTGCTGTACAGGTCAATGACATCATCGCTAGCCAATCAGACGCACGATAGGCCCACATTTCCCGCGCGGTTCTAAAATGTAAACGCACACAACTGGCTACATCACCCGACAAGAGTCTTGACATGCTATGTGTAAATGTACTCTAAACACGTCCACAAACCCCACCGACATGTTTTCAGTTCTACATATGTTTCCCAGGCATGAGATTTGGAAAGTGTAGTTGTGCCCAATATCTCTAAAATGTACTATATCGTTGTTTTCTGAGTCTGGGGAGGCAGGGACTTCACACCGAACGTGATTCTAAGTCACATTTTTGCTGCCACCCCAGTTGGTAACGCAGTTCACGGGTAGGTATTTCCTACCCTGTCATCTTTTTGAAGTTATCACCGCTAGCGCTAGCCCCGGCTTGGGGTTCTATCGAGTCGAGCAGCGGTTTTGCGAACGCATTCGAGTTTGCGAAACCTGTTCTATTCCCGTCGGCCTTTGCGCTACCCTGAACGCCAATGTAACAGCTGAGTAATGAGTGTACTTTTTATTGTATGATTCAGCGGACCAAGTACCCAGCAGTATGTATTATATATGTATGGTTCATTGTACAGAGAATTCTAGGGAAATTTTTCAACGGACCGTGTTCACGGTGTTATGCGATGAGTGTATGATTCTCGGGAATCTTTCGACGGACAGTGTTCACGGTGTTATGTGTTGAGTTCATGACTCTTCGGATCCTTTCAACGGACCGTGTTCATAGTGTTTGTGTTCAGTGTATGATTATCGGGAATCTTGTACGGAGTGCACAGTATACGAGTGTTCATAAAACAAAGCAACAGCGATCTCAACAAAAACTCGGTGGCCTATCGCCCATGCTCTAACATTGTAAATCTGAACGTTTAAGTAACTATCGCCAAAGTACATGTATTAGCGAGGACAATGTATATTTTATTATTTTTGTAATTTATCTATTGTAATGTAGTAGTTTTAAGGTTTCAGATATGGATCACACAGGCAGTTGCCTTTTTATCCATTAAAAATGTATGTATGTATGTATGTCATGACCGAATAATGTGCCCATTCTAGGACGAGCTCCACCGCGTCTGGCGGGACCACGACCACGGGGTACATTGGGAGTAGGGCACCAGCAAGCAGATCATTGGCCTCAAATAGCAAAGATTGTAGTTTAGCTGAATCGTGCTTGGGCACGATTCCGAAGGAACGTGTCGCACGTGTCAGATGTGAAGTATGCGATTTACCCGAATCGCGCTTCCACCAATTTCGGCCTTGTTCATATGAAACCACCCGAACCGCGATTCGGGTAATTCCTCACATCTGGTCCACGTGCCACACATTCCTTTCAAACTGTGCCCGATCATGATTCTCTATAATCTACATTAGTTGTTGTTTGATGAAAAAACACAAGGTAGCGTGTTATAATTATTGGAGGTCAACGACCTGCTTGCTGATCCCGCCCCCCCCCCTCCGCCTCCCAACGTACCTAGCCGAATGCCGACGTGGTCCCACCAGAGGCGGTGAAACCACCAGAGATCTCTCAAAGACACAGTTTTTCG